TTTGATTATTTATCAATTTTTGTAAGTAATTTTTAAAGTCCTAGCTACCCATGGTTCTCAACAAGTTTGGGGCTGCATTTTTGTACAAGAAGTTCACAAGCCCAAGTCTAATTCAACTATTCTTCAACAAACGCCCAACTAGGGAACTTTCGTTAACCCTCCTCTTCTCTCTTGTTTTTTTTTCTTTTACACATTGAAGACAATGTGTAATTCAAGTTTGGGGTGATGGTTTACTCTATGGTAACTGTGTTTAACACGTTAGATAACCTTGCCTACTAAGGATAGTTTGACGCTTAAAATTATTATTGATTCATAAGTTATGTCTAAAGTAAACCCACCCCTTTTTTGGAAAAAAAGATTGCTTATCCGTGTAAGATATCAAGTTATTTTGAGCATAATGTCATGACCAATTGTTGTCTAGGTTTGGAAATTATTGATTGATGGAGATATTTGTGAATTGTTAGATTAGGATGTAAGTTGTGTGAATTTTTTTTATCGCTTAACCTTATTGAGAAATAAGTTTGTGGGCGGTCGATTAGGTAAAGGAAATTATTTGAATATGTGTTAATTCCGTGCATGTTGAATATATCTGTGTGGAGAATCTCTGACTAACAAGTATAAACTAGGTGATGGTAATATGCTGGGAATCTAAGCCCCATAACTTTTATTGCTAAAAGGGTATTGCACTTGTTCTTGCCTTGCTTTGTAGCTTTTTTTACTCGAGTTATTAAGTCCGTAAGGGCATCTCGAAATCCTGTACCCTTTGTTTTTAAAAAAATCGGGAAGTTATCAACTTAAAACTCACTACAAGGGTCAAGAAGAAAGTTTAAGGGAGTGAGATTAACCTTAACTTCAATTGAAATTCTTGATTAAAATTGTGCATTTGTAATTGATGTGGGTGCTTATACAACTAGTACTTTGAATTACCTAATATAAGTTTAAGTGTCGAAGCACTCACAATTATTGATAACTGTGTTTGTATACACTTACTAGAGGCCTAAAGAAGTTTATTATTGATGAAATGGATGGATTTCGACTCACAATTATGTAATCTTGCTTTTATATGATGAAAATTACCAATTAAAGGAGAAAAAAAGGAGAAAGGAAGAGAAAAATAACCAAATACGTACAAAATCATGAAATTGGGGATTAAAGTGCACAAGTACTGAAAGTAAGGACTTTGGATGCAATTTATGAACGACATAATTGAAAGATATACAATAATTGAAAGAAGCAAATGTTCTAGGTTTTTGTAGGGGTTAGAGATATACACAACACTAGGTGACCCATTGAATTATTATCACAAATGTTTAATGTAATTTGTTGCGTTTTAATCGACGTATAGATATAGTAGGTTAAACTAATAATTTATGAGTGATTTCTATCGAGATATGTAATTAGCTAAAAAAAGAAAATCGGGTCTAACATGATTAATTAATAGTTTATTAACTTTCATGTTGAGAAATTAATCGAGCGACTTAAGTGAAATCATGAATTCCAACTATTCAATCCTCAAAACATTTCCAAATTTGTAGTGTGGTTTGTTTTCAATCGAATTTCAACTTATTTTTCTTTTATTTCTAAAATAATTAAATTTATATTGTGTATTTTATAATTGTTAGAATTAAAATTACAATAATATTATAATTAAAAGCAAACATTTCTCGAGGGATCAACTCGAACTCATAGTCCACTTTATTACTGGAACGCGACCCGTAAACATGCAATTTGTAATTTTGGCGAACATGAATAATACAAATCCTAATCGCTCGTTGAATCGTATATCTCCCAATCCTGAATGAAGGGATCAATAAAAGACATACCGAGAAATACATTGAAGTCAACGAGGATGATGATAAAACATCACCATTCCTAAGGGGGGCCCTAACACCAACAGTACCATTTTAATCACTTTGGAAAAATATCTCGTGGAATTATTTTTCCAAATGATTGATAATCTTAAAAATTTTAAGTGACAAACGCAAGAACATCTTTGTGCTTAGATCCAGACCGTTTAATCCTAACAGATTCAGTCAAAATCATTCAAAAATGAAGTAATTTAAACCATTGAATACGAAATGGTACATTCACACAAACGGTCGAGATTAGAAGTATGCATAATGCACATTGGAAAACATATTAAAAACTGTAATTATGAAGGACAGTGATGCTACATGTACATTTCATTTGACATCAAATTTGACATTGTACCACGTGTTATGGCATGAATGGACAATTTTAAAATAAAATCCATTTTCCCGCCCTTTCAGTCCACAAGTTATTCCGCCATTTAACATAAATAATTAAACTCGAACTTTGGGGACTATTATTAATTGATTATCCAACACCCTTTTTCGCAGAAAATTAGTGTACCGTCAATTACAAGAAATCTTTAAAACCTATACTAACAATAAAATTTAGATGAATCCACCTTTATACTCACTTAATAGAGAATATAAATTAACTCATAAACCTAACATAAATTATTAGACTTGAAATTCGGGGATTATTTGTTATCAATAAATATTTATAAAGGCTCATAAGCGAGCCTGTGTCGAAGCGAATATTCTAAAGAGTCAAAATATATAAAAACTCAGAACAAAAGTCGGTGAGCATTGGGTGCGCGAAGCCTCATGAGCGTTCTTGAACATAAAGGGCAAGCCAACATACTCTATTAAAAGCATGAGGACTAAAATGGTGATAAAACGTGAAAAGATAATATATCTAGTTAGAAGCCAGCTGGTTCAATGATTGGAATGAGTCTGCCACAATTGCCCTCAAAGCCTTTAGAAATCTATAAAACGCATAATTGGGAAACGAGAGAAACTGCAAAATACGAGTATTTTCCTCTCAAATAGTCATATATGTTCTTGCTTCTCCTTGAACATTGAATCACTGAGTTTAAAAGGAAAAATGATTGACTACATGAGAGTAATTCATTGATCATTATTTTACGATCAACAATCCCTACGAATGCTCGAGCCTTTATCAATAACACATTGTGTCGATTAGCTTGCAAAACAAGTAGAAGCAAAATCTTCCAACTAAGAAGTTCCATTAAAGAAAGTAAGCAAACGTAAACAAGCTTCCAAGTCCCACAGCTGTTCTTGAAAATATAGACCCGAGTAATCAATAAGCGAAACAACAATTGACCATAACATCAACAACTTAACTTTGGCTAGACAAGGTTTCCTTTAAGCCCCTGTTTGGTCCGGATTAAAATCTAATTTTAATCTAAGTCAAAGTCAAACAATTAATATTAATCACATCTTTCATGGATCCCACAACTTTTCAACCACACATTTCAAAAAATTATATCACAATCTACTAAAAATCAAATTTTAATCTCTACCAAACACCCTCTTAAGTGCAAACCTAATGGAGGACCAAGAATGCTACATAAAAAATAATGAAGGATTGCAATACGACAAGATTACAAATTAGAGATTAATAGTACAAATCTCTAAGAATAATTCCTGGTGTACAGGAATTAGTTTCACAGGGCCATACAGCCCCTCACTATAGCGCGGGCTCCACCCAAATGTATTTTTAAAAAAAATATGTGCCCCCCTCCCTTGTGTCTATTAGGCAGGGGCCTGCACCCCTGTAATGCAAGCAGAGCTCAATCTCTAATTCATTCACCTATTCGCTTGATAATATTTGGAAGTGTAAATTTCATTAGGGGTCCCCAACGTTTTGTAGGTGTGACACTCGTGTCACCGACCTACCATTTAGTTCACCCATATTCCCAACCTTTTAAAATTAGACACTCATGTCCCTAATTAACGAAAAATCGCGTTTATTTAAACGTTAAATAAGTACATAATATTCCCTTATTATCGGGCACATTAGCAGAGCTAGCTATATGGTGATGTTTTCCTAGTATTGTTTCATGCGACTCCTCTTATTTTAACTATTATTTAAGGTTTCATCCAGTATGTCATCATTATTATGTCTAAATCTCTATCACCATCTTTTACTTTTTGTTTTGAATAATTTATCAACCTTAAATTCTTTTCTTTTAATGCTTTACACTACTATGTGTTTTACTTTTGTATAAAAAATAAATTAATTCCTTTTGAGCCTCATTCTTTAATTTTTTTCAAACACACTCCAATAAAATAATTTTACACGTAAATTTAAATTTTTCTTACCTTTTAACTACACATTCTTTAAACAAAATAATTTTTACAAAATTTATTCTGAAAAATGAAGCTCAAACAACATTCATTAAGATAAATCGTTAAAGACCTTTTGGTGAAAAGGAAAAAAAAAAAAAAAACTTAAATTCGATTAATTGGGGAAGTGGTAACAAAGCAAGCAAGCAAGCACGTGGGCTATTTTATTCCTATGTCTAGAGTAAATAACTCCTACGTCATTGAGAGGTGCTATAATATTTGAAGTAATTAGTGCCACCGGAGTTGATCGCTTCTTTTGCATGTGAAAGGTTCTCAAATTGAAAAAAGAAAGAAAAGAAGAAAGTTTGGTCGATGAGAGAGAGAAAAATATATTTGATGACATCAGTAATGAGTCCATCATACTAAATATTCAAAGTATGAAATACTTGGGAAATAATCATCATCTATGGAAAACAAATTATTAGATTTAAACGATTCTTCTATAAATATTTTGTTTTAAATTTTTCCTTCTAAGCCCCACTAGATCAATCCCGATTGGGGATGGGTTGAAGCAATAAGACAAGTTTATTGAATACATCTACATAACGTAATATTAACCTAAACTGAATAAAAATTGAAGTTATTGTTCTAGATCCCCTTGGAATAATGTTTTTGGATAATTTTATCCTTTCAATTCGACATCACATAATCATTCAAAGTTCCATCATTTGAAAATATTGGAAACATGAGTGTGATAAATAGTAAGTTGAGAGAAGTGCCAAAGTTACAAAAGACTAGGGACCCTGGTGGAATTTACCCTATTTGCAATTTAATAAAAAATTATTTAGAATTAACAAAAGTAGAGTTCCCAATCAAAGAAGGATGAAGCTTGTCCGAATCTTGAGAAAAGCCACTGAATGTCGCAAATCTGCAACAATTTCTCACGGTCGTCTCTTCTCTTCGCATCAAATCCATTCCTTGCCTCCTCAATCGTACCTCATCTTCCTTCCTTCTCATTTTTTCATTTACACAGTATATCTATATTAACGTGTTTGATAATTGATATTGAGCTGTTGATTCTGTACTACTTTGATTTCATAGGTCATCGTTCGGCATTGCTTTCGACATTGATGGCGTCATTCTCCGTGGTAATATTCCCATCGGAGGTTCTTCGCGGGCTCTCCAAAGACTCTACGATGACTCCGGTACTCAAAAACTCATTTTATTATAATTCGATTCATTTTCATTTCGTTGGTTTTAGTTTTTCTTGGATTTTAGCTCGGATGTATCGATAAAAAGCATACTATTGTTTTTTAACCAATTTGATTATTGAAATAAAACACCAGGGAAATGAATCCAGCACATTTATACTGTCTGCTGCATATGCAAGTTGTTGTTTGTTGCACTTTTTAGAGTCGAATTTCATTCTGTATTCTCTTTCATGATGTTTGGTAGTATGGATGTACTGATTAGACTTTGGAGGTATATATGCGCTTCCTTTGGATACATATTTCCTCCCTTTAACTCAATTTGTTCTTCTGTGAGCAGGTAATTTGAGAATTCCCTATGTTTTCTTGACAAACGGTATGTTCTTAGCGGAATCCATTTCGTTCTGGTTAAAACATCAATGTATTTAAATCAATGCAAATGTTTTGTTTCTTTTCAGGTGATTAATTCCATTGATGTATTTTATTGCAGTCTAATTTATTATTCATGCTACCTTGCTTCTTTGTCATTGTTGCCTCCCCACACGATATAGAGTTTTGGATCATAACCAGTAAAAGCTTTCTGATGTCATCGTATATATGTGAAGTTGCTACTTTTACAATTCTGCAACAATTTGGGGGTTAACCAAAGAGGTTCATTACTTGAGTTTTAAACTGAAATTTGGATTAGTAATCCATTTTATTTTGTTTTATCTTTTTCCCATCTTCAAAAGAATAGATTTCCCCTGTCGTTTGAATTTTCTGAATGTTCCTTGGACATTCTGTTCATCCGAACACCAGGAATACTTCAACTTCCAAGTTTTCACCAGGAAAAAAAAAAAAAAAAATTCTTATGGAGAAAGAGTTGGTAGGGCAGAAAGGATTTGCACTATTGACTCTGAATTGAGAATGATTGGTCGTGTTTTTTAACTTGTGTCCTCCTGAACAAACACTTTATAGTGAGCATTGCAGTTATTAAGAAATTTTGTTGTGGCTAAGCTATAGATTCTTTATCCTTTTCAATTGATAATATCATGTATATATTTTTGGTTTGATGACTTCCATTAATTTTCTTGTGTATTTTGTTTGAATCTGAATATGAACTTATCTTCCACCGGTAGGGCAAATTTTCTATTTTTGGGTCTTTTTATATAGGACACTTTCTGATGATGGGGTTTTTAGTAGAAGACCTCTGTCTTTTAAAATCAATTTCAAATTACATTTTTCCAGCGGTAATTTCATAGTTGTAGCACTGCACTTGCATCAAATTATGGAGACTCAAAAGGAAATGTTTGAAAGTCATATTAATTTCTTCAGATCTCTATGCCCCTAAAAAGATGCTTTCAGCAAAAGAACTTAATTAGTGAATCCTTGCAAGCAGTTTTCATTTTATGACTTCTGCTTTGATCCATGGACTTGCATTACATAAGTACATGCAAACATTATACTCATCTGCTACTTAGACAACATATTTTTGGCATACTAACAGGAGGTGGTGTCCCAGAATCTAAGAGAGCAGCTGAGTTGACCAAATTACTGGATGTCAATATTTTAGCCTCACAGGTTTTACTGCACAATACTGTCTTCCATGTTTTGTGTCACTGTCTATCTCAAACTTCTCAAGTTTGTATAATCCCTGTCTACTTGTATTTGCCTCTAAAGTGTATGGTCTTTTTGGTGTTAACTCCTGGCTTACTGAGTTACAGGTAATACAGGGTCATTCACCTTTCAAACAGCTGGTAAAGAGGTAAGATTTTGATTTGAATTGTGCTCTATGGCTGGCAGTTAAATGAATTAGGCCCATTTTGTATGACTGAGGAAAATGATCAATTGAGTGATGGGGTTGTGTTGGCTAGAAGAAACTTTGGTATTGGATAAAATCATAACTGGACCCCCAAATGGTATACCGATAAAGATGGAAGACTGAAATGTATTTACTGAGATATTAAGTTCGCATGTATTTGAATAGGTGTGATAATTTCAGGGTCTAGTTTTCCACTACAAATTCAGGTGTACGAATTTAATGGTTCTTTTTTGGTTGCGGCCAATTTTCCTCATTTTCTGTAGATTTTGAAGATGAGGGATGCATGATGCTCATAAAAAATTTTGGCGTGTGCAAATAGTGAATCTTAAGTTCTGGTGTTATTTTGCTCTGATTTGCCTTTTAATTTCCAATTTGAAGTGCTCCTCCTCCTTGAATTCAGTATGAGAGGAACAATGTGTTCTGTATTTGCGATAAGACTATTGATGGCTTCTGTACCTTTGAGAGTTTTTGACTACTTATAAAGTCAACTCCCACGACTGACCTTTTAATTAGGTTAGAAGGTAGTACTTATCTAACTCCTTGATGTACAAGATATGTTTTTGATAATAGCACCTGCCCATCAGACGTCAGTGTACAGAATAAATTTGCTTACCCTGTTTGAGCCACCTTATTGTAGAATGAGAATGAAAAATATAGTTGTTATTGAGTTCCACACAAGAGATAGAAAATTTGAATTTAAATGTTGATGTGATGGATAACGGTCATATTTTTCATTTTAATGAGATAAAAAGGTAGCCCAAACAGGGGCTATATATGAAATTTATATACACTCGTCCAAATTAGAAACTGTATTTAGTTTTAATAATTCATTATTATTTTTTCTTTTGCCTGCTGGATTTGTTTCTATATTTGAACTTTAAGAACGCTCCTTGGAAATTTTGAAGACTTACAAATCTTTTTTTAGAATGTTAAAACCCATCACTAGGAGTTTTCTTGGGTTGAGCAATAATTCCTAGTTCCTCAAGAATTTAAATTCTCAAAACTCAAAAGTGGAAAGGTGTATTCAACTTGCATATGGTGGTTGTTATTTCTTTATCCCTAACATAGTTACTATGTGGTATACTCTGCCAAAGCTACATTTAGCAAAATGATTTTAAGCCATTTCAATACCTTGAACTTGGTGAACACTCATGATGTAATGCACGCGTACCAAGGGGGCCAATGATGAGAATGTGTACCAGTATTTATACCTCTGATATGATATAAGATGAGATTTTCTTAAAAGATGGCAAAAATTGAAATGAGAAAGAGTCAAAAGAACTTGAATGAATTTTATTTGTGGGAACAAGGAAGTATTTCAAATGAGCATGTCTTTATCAACTTCAATCCTTTTGCCTCGCAGATATGAGAATGAGCTCGTCATTGCAGTTGGAAAAGGAGAACCTGCGACTGTGATGTCTGAATATGGATTTAAGTATGGTTTTGGATTCGAAGCCCCTTTCATCAGTTTTGGCATTGGTTTTTCAAACTGAGTCCAATTTCTTCTGATCCGTGTCTTAAATTTCAGAAATGTTCTCTCAGTGGATGAATATGCTATGTATTTTGAGAATATTGATCCTTTGGTGCAATACAAAAACTGGACCCAGAAACTGACTGGAAATCACAATGGCCTTCCTAGAGAAATGGCCGCGATAAATGATCCTAGTTCACAAAGAGTGAAGGCTGTCTTTATTGTTAGCGATTCTGTTGACTGGAGCAGGGACATCCAGGTTTTTATCTATCATAATTGCAGTAGTTCTAATTTAGATTTCTGGTTCACAAATGTTTGCATTCGCTTAGATTGAGTGACTTATAGATGAATACTCGAGCTAAGAAGCGACACTGCTAGTTTAAAGTGCTAATGCTTATTTGGAGGCTCCAAGTATAATTTGCCCTTCCACCACTGGTCTCTCCATTCTTGTACGTCGTCATATAGTTATAGGCTATGCTTTCATAGTTATTTTGTTCTCTTTTTATGTTAAAAACCCCAATTCGGGTTAAAGAGAAGAAAGAGACTCCTCGTAACAAACAAAATATTCAAGAAATTATCAGCATATCCTAGCCTAGTGACAGATCCCAAAATCCCATGACTTCAAAGGCCAGTTATTGTGCACAAGTTTTTAAACTGAAAATTTTGAAGTAAATATTGTAACAGCCCATTAAAAAAGGAAGGAAAAGAAGCAAAAACAAATTTGTACTTTGTGATCCTAGGAACTGAAGTCTGATGTATAAATGACTAAACACAAACTCATTGAGTATTCTGAAGAATATTTCTTTAATAATGATAAGGAAACCATACAGAATGATAATTTTGAAGTGTGTATTGTCGAAGAGAAAAGTGATAGGAATTAAAAATTGCTAGTCACCGGTCGAATCATTTTATCTTATCACAATTACCTACATCTCAATGAGGACTGATGGAACTCCTTCACTTTAGTAGTTGTAAAATATGACTTCACTTGGCAAAATGACTTCCTATTTTGAAGTTGACATTATTCTAGCTCTATGTTAAGTTACAGTTATAACTAAATGTCTAAAACAGATTGGCGTAGTAAGTCTCATGCTATACGTAAATGAGGATTCTAAAGTGTCTGCATTAGTTATATGGCTATTCAAAATGCTAGATGAACCATGGCTGACAGATTGGAGGAGCCTGGGATACTTATCTTGTATGATTTCTCTCTGAAGGAGGTGGTGAATCCATCTTATATTTTCTTTTTTCTTCCACATTAACCATATTTAGCAAGAGTATGCGAGTTCCATGCTTTTTTATTTGTTCTAGGATTTCATTAAATGACATTTAAGCTCTAAAGTCTAAACTAAGCACACACATCAACTATAGGTTTTGTGCGACATTCTAAGTACTGGAGGTCTTCCTGGAAGAGAAATTGCGAGCCAACCACCTCTATATTTTGCAAATGATGATCTTTCATACCAGGTTTGTGATCCTATTTATATTTGCAGCTCATATTGACTTTAATGATTTTTTTCTGTATGTACTTTTTTATGACTGTCACTGATGAATTGCCATCAAAGATAGGGTCTATTTCCTACAGAACGTCTTGGCATGGGTGCTTTCAGGATAGCCTTAGAATCTATCTTCAACAGGTAATGTTTGTAGAGTATGTGTGAAGCAAGGTGAAATGTTATAGCTCCGACAGTTCTATTTTAAGCCCCTGTTTGATGGAGATTAAATTAGATTTTTAGTAGATTTGATAAAAGTTGAAAAGTTGTGGACCCTATGAAATATGTGGTTGAAATTAAATGCTGACTTTGACTTGGATTAAATTCTAGATTTTAATTTTCACCAAACAGGGGCAAAATACAGCTTCCCTACAGGTTCTGAGTCGTCCTCAAAAAATATTGTTGACCTACTAAGCTGCAACCTTTGTGCAACATTATTATATATTTTGAGATTCTTGCTTTGGGATTTTCTAGCTATGACCAAAGAAGACTATATTTTTACGGTATGAAGTGTACATTATACTTTGATGTAATAATAAGATGTATTCCTTTCTACAGAATCTACCCAAATGTTCTGAAGTACACATCTTACGGAAAACCCAATCCTTCTGCATTCAGAACTGCTGAAAATGTATTGATGCAAGTCGTGCCTCAAGTTAGCCATCCTGAGAATGGCAAACAGCATACTTTCAAGACCCTGTACATGATAGGAGACAATCCTTCAGTTGACATTAGAGGAGCTCGAGAGGTTTGTTCCTAGTTATTGATTTATTCTCAGTAATATCACCACTCGAAGACAACACTATTAATTACTATCATAAATAATTATATACGATTTTAACATGTATGAAACTGGCGCCATTGATTTAATATAAACCTGCAGACAGGATCTCCATGGTTTTCAATCTTGACAAGGACTGGGGTGTTCAAAGGGGAGAAAAATCACGACAACCATCCAGCGGATCTGGTAAGGTTATTTCTCAGGCATAATGTGTAGTGTTTTATCTAAATGGACATAAAACTGTAGTAATTTGTTTATCCCCTTTACCTAAAGTGGACTTTGCTAAAATGCATTGATAATAAAAACATTTCCGTGGAGAATGTCGTAAATATGCTCTTAGGTTGGAAATGACTTATACAGTAAAAATGTCACAATATGGGCTTTTGCAGGTTGTTGACAATGTAGAACAGGCAGTGGATTACATTTTGAGAAAGGAAGGCGTCTCATCATGATCATTCACCAAAAATTTGTTAATCTCAAGATTCCACCCCAATTGTTAGCATGCCCTTTTCTCTAAGGGTCTGCTTGATTGCAATGATGGAAAATAGGTGGAAAGAAAATAAATTACGGGGAAAGTAATTGTCTAGAAATTGTTTTCTAGGGAATTGTTAATTAAGAACCTGTTTGGTACAGATTCTCATTTTCTACAGTAAATCAATTCTCATTTTCAACTACACATTCTTTAATAAAATAATATTTTCCATCACATCAATACTTTTTTCTTCTTTTTCAATCATAAATTTCCTATCATATCACTATTCAAAAATCAATTCTTTCCCCAAAAATCCCTACCAAACACACTCTAAGTGTATTTGATTGGTATAATTTTCAATTCGGAAAATTTTAAAATTTTGAATCTTTTTGTGTTCGTTTGGTTTTGTTTTACATGAAAATTGTCCATTAAAGTGATAATTTTTTTCACAATTGTTTATAAAATTTGTTTCCATTGTCAAAAAGTAACAAAAAATGAAAAAAAAAATTTCCCTGAAAAATTATTTTTTAATCAAAGTTTAATATTCGTTTGACTTTGTTTTACATGGAAATTATCTATTAAAGTGAAATAAAATTGGAACTTCAAATTCCCACAAAAAAGGTAAGAAAATCATTTCCACAAAACCAAAGAAAGTGTGCACGTGTGAGGGTGGGAGGGAAAACAATTTCCCTAGCAAAAAAAGCCTATCAAACATGACAAAATGGTGGAAATGAAAAATGTTTTCCATTTTTCATGGAAAAAGCTTTGTATCAAACAAGGCATAAGTTTTTATTTGGAGCGATGATTTCAAAATTTTACTTGTGTATTGGAGAAAATACAGGGGTATGTTTCGTACGCAGTCCAATCCCGTACTGCACTCAATCAACCTCAACCTTACCAAACATAACGAAAATGTCTAGTACCGTACTGACTTCAGTGGTCTATTGCAGATTCTGATTGATCATTTTATAAGAGCTTTAAAATTCATTCTTAAATCACATCATTAAGGAATTAAACAGGCTTCATGCAATTATTGTCGGAAATTCTGGGGAATCAGATGGATCATGTTACTCCCAATATGTAATCATTTGGGGCCCAAAATAAAGTTGTAATTTTTGTATTTTTTTTCCTTAAGATCGGCACGTATAAAGTATAAAACGTATACCAGGTTTGTGAAACCACAAGCAAAATGAATAATAAAGAGCAAAAAGAACAAAAAGTTTGGAAAGTCCAGTTTTATGCGCTAACGGGCCATGATTAAGAACAAGAAATTATTATTTGCTGTAAATCTTAAGTTCTTGATCCCTATTCGTTTCATCAATGCATCTGTGTAAAAATTAAATGCAACTGGATGTTCCACAAATTAGAAATGGGCTGAATGCAGCTATCCCCTAACAAGACAATTAAAAGAGGAAAATGAGGTTTACACAGACTTGTTTTATTTGAGAATCTGCATTGTTTTTGTCATAAGAAACACTCAATTACAGCACTGAACCGGATTAGCAGAAATTGTAGCGCAGAAAAGTTCACTTTTTTCTTTCCACATTCATTTTACAAGTTTCAAACGGGAGAAATAAAGACATCCTTTTTGAGTTCAAACAAAAATGGAAGGTGCAATTCTTCCATAAAACTTGTTCAAGTCTAAGGAGACAAAAAATGTAGAACATTCCCTATACTGAATATAGTCGTACAATACATATCATACGAGTTTAGATGTCTAGAGTCATCGCCAAGTCAAAATTTGATTATTTGTTTGGGTTGAGTTCCTAGCTTACCAAGGGCCTTGTCCAAGGCAGACTGAAATTGGTTAAACGGCACAAGCTCCATCCTGCCAAAGCGTAACAGTGTGGATACTTAAATTTAACAGTCAGTAACAGAAAACTTGCTGACTGTATTGACAACCATAAATATTTGTTTTTTAATATTGGTGGAAGAATTTTCTTAGCACATTTTAAAAATCTGCAGTAAAGGGAAGAATGTGGCCTGAACAGCCAAATTCACAGCTCATTTCCAAAGGGAAGGCATCAACAACGAACTACCAGATACATTTATAATAATCTATTTGCATTAAAGAACCTTCGAAGGTGTGGTAGCATTAACTTTTCATTTTGGAAGAGGGAGAAAACATACTCGTATGTCAATTTACCCTCACGAGCTAGGCTCAAAAGGTAATCAATCATAACCCTGGACTCTTTTGCCTTGTCAGAACTCAACCATTTCTGTAACCAAAATCCCCTCAAGGAAAGGTCCTGCAAAAATTAATATTCATAAAGTATTTGGTTAAAATTGAAGCGAGCTCAAGCTTGGGTCAGGCACACTTGGAGCTTGGCTCAATCAATAAAAACAAGCATAATAATTTTTGGGCGATCTGTCAGATAAATGGTTTGGATGAATTCTGCAATAACTAAACGCCAAGCTGTTTATACAAAGCTTCGTTTTTGCCGTGTCCTAGATCAATTTTTTTGAGCTAAAAATATATGAGCTTGTACCAATCAGAAACAAACATAGACGGGTTACAAAGCTTAAATCTTGGTTCTGTTTTCAAAACTAAAGAATTTTTTGTTTCTCCTATAAAAATTAAGCCCCTGTTTGGACTCTATTTCTTTGAACTCATTTCAACCACACATTTTATGGGACCTAAAACTTCTATCAAATTTTCAACCACTCAATTCATCAACTTTTATCAAAATCAACAAAAAATCTAATTTTTATCAAAACCAAACGGGGCTAAATATCTCTAATCACCAGCATGAGAAGTTCGGGATAGTTAGAAACAGGTTTTCTTCTATAATCTTAACTTGAAACCTAGTGCCAAAACAACTGTGTCAACCCATAAATAAGAACCTAAGTGAGTGCACAAAGAGATTCTAATAACAATTCTCAAATGTCTAAGGTAGTAAACCTTAGATTGTATCACTATCTCTATCTGACAACACTAATGGAACACATGGCCTGCTACAATTATTGATATAGTGCAAAATTTGGACAATCCTAGTATATGCCAAAACAACCGTGTCAACCCATATAAGGACCTAAGAGAGAACACAGAGAAATTCTAAGAACAATTATCAAATGTCTAAAGCCAAAACAACTGTGTTAACCCATACATACGAACCTAAGTGAATGCAGAAAGAAATTCTAAGAACAATTCTCAAATGTCTAAACCCTAGATCGTATCACTCTATGTGACAATGCTAATTGAAGTATGGAACCTTCAATCCTCTCACAGAAATGGATATAAAAAACAACAGTGCCAGATGGCCTGCTACGACTATTGGTACAGCAAAATTTGGACAATCCTACTATATGAAAAAATATGCCTTCACATCCCCATAATAACCAAATATGCATCTTCTTCGATGCTAATACTTCTGCAGAAGAAAAAAAAGAAGCGAGAATCTTCAAGTCTTACCTTAAATATGAAAGATGAAGTTGAGACAGTTATAGGTTTCTTTGACATTCCCCCATATGTAACCATAATTCCACTCTGCCTGATAACGAGCATATAAGGATCTCAGAGGGAAATAATCAAAATGGAAATTTTTCTCAAAGTTACAAACTATGAATCTTACTTTAGGAATTTAAGAACCAATGAAGCTGCATTTCCACCAACACAGTTAAATCCCAGAGCCGGTTCAGGTATATCAGCCTATAGAAGGTATAAAACGTGACTCGGATAATTTTCAGTAAGAACAAAAACATAAAACAACAGGGAAAAATACTGGAAAGGTACATAATTCAATGCCCAGATGCAGAGAAGATGGCCACATCCAAAAAAAAACAGGGAACTATGTAGCTGCAGAAGGGAATACCTCCTAATTCATACAGTAATAAATAATGAGTCAAAACATAATACCAGAAGATTTTTAACATTTTTCACTTCCAGTTGGCTCTCTGTGAACACTTGATCAGCACCAAGATTTTTGAGCTTTTCTTTTGCTTCATCTGATCCTGCCCTGTGACAGTAGGAATTCATATTTGAGACAAATGTCTGCAGGATAACATTTAGAAATTGATTCAAATTGAATATATATTATGAAAATGAAGGACATGTTAAATTTAATACAATTTTAAATGAATGTACTTCGAAAATGGAAAAAAGACCTCTCTCGGAATCTTCAGTCACATTATACATGGGATTCATAATAATGTAAATAAAGATTACTATATAATCAAATATTCTACATTGAGAAAAATTTCGGGTGATTCCCATCATTTTCAAGCCAAGGTAAGCAGGCAACCTTTCTTTTTTCTTGATAAACCAAGTCGACAGTTAATTGAGAAATCTTAATGACTGTATTAACAAAGTATTATATTTATGGAAGTAGTCAGATTTCTAACACTAAAAGCACCTAGTGTAGGCAAAAATATTTAAATCCAAAAGAAAAAAAATAAAAAATAAAATTACAAGCCTATATTTTGATTTCTGATACAATTACAACAAGGTTATGCAATCACAAGCATATGATAACTGTACTTGGGGCGAATCCAAACGGTACCTGTCCCTGATAATGTTAATGCTATGGATGCCTCGATCCCGAGCCAGCTGAATTAAACATTGCCCCACAATGCTAGTAGCACCGTTCTGAACAATAGCATCTCCTATTCGGATGCTTCATGATAAGAGAGATGCAGCTAAAGGAATTACAAAACATTAATCAGATAGAAATGGCGCACCTGATTTTACATCCACAAAGTCCTCAAGCATCCTCAGGGCAGTCAAAGGATTTACAGCAACGGACGCAGCATACTCCATAGGTGTACTTTTCTCAATTTTGTGCCATACATTTTGATCTCTGACAACGTATGTCTGCCATGTGCCTGAAAGGAAGGGGTGTCAAACTCAATTGTAGATCACAGAAACTACACAAGGGCGTTGTGACTACCACCATTTAGAAGTCATTAACAATTTAACGGTTGAGTAAAGAACCAAAATCCTGTAATTCCTACTGGTAATATTCGGCTGAATAGAGGACATCTCTTATAAACCATAGGATTCTGAAATGTAGAGCCACTATCCTGTATCTCCTTTTTTGGTCACTGAAGTGTGTTCAGCAACACCAATACAGACCCTAAAAATAATAATTATATGCCCTCATTTAGAACAACTTTTTTCTTTCCTTAAAACTTGCAGAAGTGTTTTGCTGCTTGTCATCCCTAGTAAAAGGGAAACATGCAGAGAAGAGCAAAAACAGAACTCGGCAGATTGCCAGTGCGGTCCTATTATACTACTGGTTAAACATATATATATATTTATAGCCTAAACAATTTTTTCCTAAATATATACAATGCGCCATAAATTTGTGGCAAGAAATTTCTCCAGACAGCAATGGTACCCTTCCAAATAAAATTGAACAGCGAAACTGCAGCATACCTGAAGAAGGTGGAGAGGGGATGACCCAATCACCAGGGCTAAGTCCCTTAACAGCAGAGCCTACGGAATATACCTCTCCTACCCCCTCATAGCCACCAACGGCTGGCACCGGCGGCCTCACAGGATAAACTCCTATACCATACAACACATTTCTTCAATACTTCCCCAATATACACTTTTTTTAAAAATAGTAAATAGTACAATAATAATAATAAAAAGAAACCTTTGCACGGAAAAAAGTAATAAAAATCAAGCAATTTCATTTGCTGTTGTATCCACTCTATTTTTAAAAGCACAAATACCACTTCGATCATCACTGGCAGCTTCGTGCACTCAAGCAATGTACAGATTAAAATAAGAAAATTAAGATAATCAACTAGTTATAAGAAAAAGAAGAAGAAAGAAAATCAGAAATTCCTCTTAAAATATTGAAGTAGAAGGGACCTTGGATTCTGTTGATATCAGAGGGGTTGATAGGAGCGGCGAGCATTCTGACGCAGATATCATCGTCCTTTATCTGTAAGGGAGGGAGTTCTTTCACTTTGCAGACGGTATCCGGAGGGCCATGGTCGTCGTAGACGACAGCCGTGGACGGAGGAGACATGACGGAGGAGAATGCTCGCACGGCGGTGTTTGGTCGGCAGAGCAGCGCCCACGGCGGAGGCAACCACCTACCGTGGCGTGTGAGCGCCGCTTTGAGAGCCACCGGCCTCACTGTCGCCATTCTACAATCGGAATTTGATATCTATCATCTGGAAACTGCGTTAGTTTGTTGTTGCCGTTCTCCCTTAAACGACGACGTTTTTTGATACTTGCGCACCACCTGAATCTCCCTTTGCAAGGAGACTGTACAGTCTCGATATACACGTGGCAAAATCCTATTTTTTAATTCAATAAAAAAGTAAGAAAATACGCCCCTTTATAATCACCCTCTTGCACAAATTTATCCATTTGAGTAAAAAAAAAGAAAAAAAATATTTTCCTATAAGTTAGGGTCTCACAAATTTTATGGACCAAATTTCATAAATTTGGACTTACAAGTCAGATTAGCTGAAAATCTTGGAAGGACAAGAACAACTTTAGATATGGTGATTGGAGATGTTCCCTGTGATTGCTCGAAAATTTTAGAAAGACTAAACAAACTGTGTTTCATAACAACTTGTGCTAGTAGCTGGTGGAAGACTTGCAATTAATCATGATAGAAATTTGGACGACGCGCATTTTGGATAATCTCAGATGTAGCTCTGCTGTTAGTGAGGATAGATGGTGGTTATGCCCCCACATTGGGATGCCTTAAACTTAATGTAGATGTTGTATTGGAGAATAACGAAAATTTACTTTCCAGAAACAAGGACGAGCAATAAGCTAGTTGGGAACGTAATCACCATTTATTGCAAAATGTCTTCCCATTCTAAATAGAAGGTCTATTAGTTGCTCGCACTCACAACCTGACCATCAATATAGACCATCACCTCTATTGAATCAGATTGCTTAAACTATGGGTAGACCAAACCAAAAACCATAACCAAGAATCAAACTTAAGAATCAAACCATAAGAACTTTCTTTTAGATCCATTATGGTAGTAATGTAGGCAGTGTGTATTCTAATTAAAAAATAAGGGAAATAGTTCTACCATTACACATAAGAAGAAGATGGATGGAATGAAGGACAAGAATCAACACCCGATATTACCATAGATCCGCCAATATCCTAAATTCTAGTCTCTCTTTCAGCATCGCCTCGAGGAATAACAATTACCCTTTGCCCTTGCACAGTCCAATTACCCTTTCCCCTTGCACGGTCCCTCATCGCTTACGAGATTTTTTGCTGCTCTCTTCTTGCTACTCGTCTGCGTCCCACCTTGTGGCATCAACGTTTAGCTCATTTATTTGAACTCTTAAACTTCATCTGTTTTTTTTTAAGAAGAAATTGCTTATCTGTAATTCATTTTTGTGACCATAGCATTATATTGTCTTTCTTGTTCTCACACTCCCAATGCAAATGAGAAAGTTTTCTAGTTATCTATGTGAGGACATTGACAAATGTAAATAAAAAAAAGTGTGGGGAAGATGACTCAAACAAAAAAGTACATGTAGTCGCATGGGATAAAGTTTGCAAGCCTAAGTACAATGGAGGGCGTGACATCATGGAGACTGAACAAAATAAGCGGATCTCTCAACTGGAGAGCTATAAAAGAACCACATGCTTTATGGCGCAAGCTTACATAGCAAGTATCTCAATAATGGGGGATCCTTATTTAATGCACCAAAGAGCAACTCATCATATATATGGCACATCATTAAGAGAGGAAATTTATTAAGTGTTCAAGTTAGGTTAAAATGGAGACTAAGGAAGGGGCATAGAATGATTTTAACTTACGAGTAACATGCATCAACTACGAAGGATCAATTAGAATTACCTCATCCGAAATTGGCACATAAACACTTGAAATTGCCTCTCTTTTTGTCCCGAAACCTTAGACGAGCAACTATGCTTAAACGAGTATGCTGTTGTGTCATGGGTTGATTTCAACAGCTCTTTTGGGAAGGACAAGTAGTTTGGCTTTAGTATTCAATTTGAGACTTCATCAGTCACCTGGCAGTAGTAGGCCTAGGTCCCTCATTGGCTGGCAGTCTTCACCGACACCTCCTCTGGAGAGTTTGGTATGTATTTGAAATCCTAATCATAAGAAATAATCAATAGAAGGAAAACTTCCTATTAGAAGCACAAGTGGAATGAGTAAAAGTTCTACGGTGAAGAGCCCGCTTAAGGCGACCTTATTAAAGATAAGATTTGGGACATAAAAGCCAATGCAATGGTAATCTCATCCTTAGTTGCCGAATCTAATAGAGGTTTCAATCCGACGAATTAACTATAATTGGCAGGTAAAAGGAGGCCTCATCCCGCTTAGAGATCGCAACTATAGTCAGAGTAGGAGTTCCCATCCATCATCTCCGTCGAGGCCTCCTTTTACCTGCCAATTACGGTTAATCCGTCGGAAATGATGGATGGGAACTCCTACTCTGACTATAGTTGCGATCTCTAAGCGAGATTTTTAGTCATCTATGTTTTTTCTTTCCCTAGCGAGTGAAGTGCCCCCTAAGCTATAAAGGCGATCTATATATATAAATTCTGTGAGCAGTGATTGAACCGAACCTTCCAAGGGCATCCAGTAGGAATTAAACCTACGAATTGTCCCAGTAGGTACTTTACCCATTCAGCCATGGATGCAAAGACTCAGCGGGTAAACTAGGTTTTGGTATTCCTTTTCGAGCTTCTATTTCTTTCGTTAAAGGAGATTCGAGAAAAGATGGAATAGGAAGACGTGTTTCGAGAACGAATGAGATACAGGTTGATGAGATGAAGTTAGCAAAGTTAGACAAGATTGAAATAGGCATAGGAACATTTATTGATCTACGAAAGCAGCTAATGCTCCTAGGTTGATGTGACGTATTCCACCAGTTGACTGAAGACTTGATTATGGTATATCGATCGATCCAGCACGAATTGAAGTAGGAGCTGATTCGACAGAAAGCTTTTGAAAACACAGTGTACCCTGGTAAATAAGGAATGAGATGAATAAAAAGGTTAAATGAGCATCCTAAACCCAAAAAGTGCCCCATATAGGCCTTCCCCGAAACCCCCTAGTAACTAAGGTAAATACCGTATAAAAAGTACCCAATTCTGTACAGATTCTAGAAGAGTAAAGAAAAAGAGGATGTTTTGTTAATAGGAACAAGAAGTGTTTATAACTGTGGTGATATAAACAAGAATACTCATCCAAGCTATAGGAACATGTACATATAGAATAGGAGAATTTTCACCTTGTTGAAGATCTAGTGCCGTTACTTGAAAACTTACATGAATAGCCTTCGCTGTTAAGAACAACCGAGATCTAATGAGATTTTGTGCGTAGCTTTTGGTTTTTGACCTAAAAAAAGGTCGTAATAATAAAACAGATACGTGAGAATTTAGCCCTAGCTAATGGAACAAGAAATACATGATCTATATTAAATACGAAATCAAGGGAGAAACTACTACATCAAGAACCTCTACATCTAATCTGAACGGCCACGATCCCTTCCCACCTTGGCATATTACAATTTTGTCTATTCAATTCGTACATCCAATAGCTATTTTTTTCATAATAAATTCCATATGAAAGCATTCATTCCCTTACTTAGGGAATCGTTGTAATGGTTCCTTACCCTTCAACTTAGAATGGAGATCATTAAGTTAATATCTCATTTGGGAGTTCACTCTTCTGAGAGCCCACATGCGAGACACTTCATCATGTATTTCTGTTTGAATAAAGGCCCATGCTTGTTGGCGAGCATGATCCTGTTATATTACCCAGTTGATGTAACGGTCTGCTTCGTCCAGGAGCCATGATTTGTGCTCTTCCCTCCATGAGTCTTCTATGAAGTTCGATGTTCGTTAGGCATAGACGAACTTCTTGTCTTCTAGTGCTCGTGGGTTCGTTGGTGGACAGACTTCGGTTCAGCAGGAGGGACATTTAGATCAAAAGAAAAGACGGCCATCTCAAAAAGGTAGCACCACTTCGACTGTCTTCGACGAAAAGATGAAGTTTTGTGCCCGAAGTACCTTCACCAGAAAACATCATCTTCAATAGGGCACCCCCTACACGGAGCCCCACTTTTGAAAGGATGAAAATGAAAAAGTCAAGAATGTCAACTTGTAGACAAATAAGATTAAAAAAACAAAACGACCGTGGTGAGGAATAGGAAATGTGTTATGAAACGGATTGCAAGATAATGACGATAATGAAATAAAGAAGAAGAAAACAAGAACACAAGAATTTACGTGGAAACCCAATTCAGGAAAAAACCACGGGCAAAGGATAACAATCCACTAGAATCAATAGTTTTGTGTTTACAATATCAACATTTAAATAATCTCAATTGAAATCTAAACTCTCAATCTCTCAATATGTTGTTGAAGATGTAAAGAATAATAGATGAATGTTGTATTATTGAGATACAATGTGACTATATATAAAATCTCTTATTTGAGTCCAAGATGGAGAAAGAATCCAAAATATGCATTTAGCTATCCAAGAGTCCTCCTTCAAGCCAAACTCCTAATTATTATTGAAATTTGATCTTCAATCATATTAGAACTCTACAAACCCATATATCTTAAACTTCCTCAAATCAACCAAATACCAAATCACACGGAATTTGGATCACACGACAACAAATCTCCACCTTGAGC